AACCTCGCGATTGCTGAGCAAGAAAACGACACATTCATATTCCAATGCCGAGGTTAAGAGAAAGTCGATCCTGGGAACTACTACTAGCATTGTCATTTAGATTGCGCGTTCAATGACGCTGAGTGGTCTTTCACCCTCCTTATGCAGCGACCAGGGTTCCGACACACATATTAAGATAGGAAGAATCGTGAAGTCAAGGAGATGGGTACGGAGTCGGATGTTCTTTGTTCTTTTCACTACATACTCGATGTTCTTGAATGACCCCCAAGCCGCTCGTTTCCTTCTGCTCAACTCTGGAGCTAAGTCGTTCATCATGTTGATTTCTCGAACTAGATAGACATAACTGGAGCATTCGGAGATATTCGTTCCGTTGAGCGTGAATGGGCATATGAAACCAATCCGTTCCTCATAAACATTGTTTTTGTGAGATTTAGTCGAAGACCAATCTTTCCACGGGCTTTATCAAAGTCGTCAAGCATACGTTCCGCTCGGCTAATGTTTGGTGTTATAAGAACGATGTCATCAACAAAGCGAAGATGGTGTAATTGCCAACCATAGATTTTCATTGATTGCAATGTTCGCATGATGTTTTGGAGGGTTTGTGGGGAATAGAATCCTTCCAACAGCCAACCAATGAACTGAATACATTCTAATTTCTGGCCGTTTTAGGTGTTTTTTTAATTTAAAAGCTTTACCTCTTTTTAGTGAGGAATGTAATCTTGCACGAAGGAGGCGATGGTCTGGTCACGTGCAGAATTTTCGGACAACAGCGAGATCGGGTAGATGGTAGATGATGGTCTTGGTCGTAAAAATGAACTCAGACAGCCGTCTACTCTGCTCGTTCAATGCAGTGGGTCCCAATGTAACGTCCAGTGTTAGCGCTGAAATCTTCAATGACTATCTTGAAAAATGTATGGTCTTCACCGTAGAAGGTCTCCAAATCCCTATAGAACATTCCGACTTCGTCTTCGCCGTAGCTTGAAGTAGGTGCGTAACTAACGAAAATTGTCAAAACACCGGTATTGATTCACATCTCTCCAATCGTAAACGTCCGATTCGGGTTGTAAATTGTTCGAATAAATCGATATTAACGTCTAGCAAACGTAACTCATAGTAATACCCTCTTTTCTGAGAAGGTACAAAAATGTTTGTCTTTCAAAAGGTCAACTCTGCTTAATACATATAGTGAACAGTACCTTTTGCTGTTAGGGCAATGACTAGTGCCACTCTCAGATTCTTTCGGATGGTCTGCTTTAGATCACACCAATACTAGGAATTAATTACTTAATATTCAGGCTTAACATCATCAAAGAATAGAAACTGCCACTATTGTCAGAATAAATAAGTAATACGCTTGCATAATATATACTGTGCAAAAAAGACAACTATTTATGGATCCCTGATAGTCATTTCGAACTATTGTAGCAGTATAACCAAGGTATCAACATATCACCTCTAACAAATCACGTATTATAAACACAGATCAAACATTATGTGAGTGCACCACGTATGAGACTAACATGACAAGAACATCTACTGATGGGCAAGTATCACATGGATGTGGGCAATTAAGAGTAAATAAAAACAGTATACCACATAAAGTATACGAATCACAAAATATCACAGTAAAAAAAACAAGACAAAACGGGAAACAGGCATGAGTCAAGAGATTTGACAATAATTTCAAAAAGCACAATGTTAACGTGAGAGGTAAAAATCTCAATCAGTGTAAAAAAAAGATGTTAATAAGAGCAAGATGCTCTTGTACACATCATTTTTAAGTTACCAGATCACCTGTTTTGCACTTCTGTGAAACAATTGTCGCAAACTCTTACTGGATTTTTGTGACTCGCAATCCTGTAAGTTTTACTATCAAACACGCTAAATACTTAGACTAAACTAGACTAAAAACTAAAACCATATTAATGTTGACCGACACTTACTGTGCTGTCTTAGAACTACATGGATTACAGAAAATCAATCCGCAAACACGACAGTGATGTTTCCGAACTGTCAAACTGAACAATTTCCCACATGCTGTACAATTAACTGCGGCCGAATCATCCAGCCATGATCGCGATGTGTGTTTAGAAATATCCATCTGAGAAAAAAAACAGCAAATTCAAACAAGTACAAAACACCTACTGGAAAGAAGTGAAATGAACGTTATTCCACGATGGGAATGCCGTACTAAGACAACGTGGGTAAGCGAATTTTCAAAAGAAAAATCCAACAACGTGACAAGTGCAAAGCAATGATTGATTTCACCGAAGTACCTGCAACGATTGGTTGGCTCGTCCTAACTCGTGCATTGCCGATAACGCTTCATCGAATCGCCGTTTGTTTTCTAATGCTCGATCTCTTTCAAAATCCAAATCACTCTCGGTGTTTAAGCATCTGAAATGGTACATTATACCCGTGTCTAAAAAAGTATGACCTTGAGATATTACCGTTCAATAAGGGCATTCTTTTCTTCTTTCCATGAAGCAGCTTTCTTAGTCAATTCTAAAAGTGGGTTCACGGAATTAAATAGAGACATAGATAATGGAAACTACGAAACCTCACCAATGTTTGCCGACGTCAACTCTTCTGCTGTCTTCTCCGCCTCTCTTGCAACCCTAGCCTGCTCGTCTAACTCTGATTGTGTTGCCGCAATGGCTCGCTTCAAAGCAGATATCTCTCCACTCAGTTTTTCCTCCTTTGCAATTGAGACGGCCTCTATCTCAGCTATACTACAGTTCAGACGCTCCTGCAGAAAGAGCTATCCAAGGGGAATTAGGAAATCAAATAAGCGCGCATGTCGGTAGATTTAACAAAAGAAGTTCCCCTGATAAGTCAAAGACTGTTGTCATACAAACTATGGTCGGAGATCTAAAAAATAGAGAACTTTATAAAACCAACAATTTCTTCATTTTTAGATGCTAGTTGGCGATCCATGGACAACTGAATATCATTCGATAGTTTCTCGAATTGAGCACATCTTCTCTTCAACTAAAATCGATAGATTAATCGTGCAAAATTCTGCGATTTAATTCTGCGAACAGTTTAAGAAACTAACACTTTTTAATACCTCCTCTTTCGAAAGAATGGTGTTACGCAACTCCTCAACCTCTCCATTTAACTGTAGCTTCAGTTCTTCCATCATCTGAGTGAGAAACAAAACTAAACAAATAGGAAACGATAACAAGAAAACTAACTTTAGAGGCCTCATCATTCTTAGCACGAAGTGAGTTGCATTCCTCAATGGCATTTTGTCGTTCCACTTTCAGTGTTTCAAGCCTGCGACGTTCATTTCCCAATTCACAATCAAGTTTGGTCTAAAAGAGTTAATGGAACCTATTGCTGAAGTAATGTTAAGTTCGTACCAGAAACTTGGACATTCAAACAAAATACACATAGATTAGCTCGCTAATTTGGGACAAAGTCAAACGTACTAAAATACAAGTGCTTCTTAAAGAAAAATAGCCGGATAACAATCCTACCAAGATTAACGCGCCAGAATTAACAAATATCAATCTGCAAGCACAAAGTCATCGAAAACAAAAGCAAAAAAAATTGACTAGTGGAAAGATACATAGCATACCACACGTTCGTGAAACTCGTCCAATTCACTTGTCCTGCTCGCAATGTCTTCATGTAAAAGAATGTTTAGTTTCGATAAACGAAGAATTTCCTGCAAAACGTAAAGATTCTTGAAAACATAACTCTTAAAAAAGGAGTACTCACTTGTTCCTTCGTCTCTACATCACTTAATAGACTGGTTTTTTCACTTTCGATACGTTCAATAAGCGATTCCAGCTCGGCTTGACGGCACTCAGCGTTCTTTTTAACAGCATCCAATTCCATTCTTGCATCACACAGGGCACTCTCGACTGACTATAATCGCCAACAAGGTTTGCAGATTAGCGTTTCTTTGTCATCAGTGGGAATGTAATCGTGTTTGGTTATACCTGAAGAAGAAGCATTTCCTCTCCATATTTCTTCTCTGTCGTCTCGTATCGGCATTTCTCTTCAGCTAGTTGAATCCTCTACAAAAGAAATGAGATCTATGCGCCAGCGGAACAACTTGCTAACGACAACCATAGTAAAAAAAATCGCACTTAACACAAAAAACACTGAGAAACGAGAAAAAAAACCTGAAAGGCACTACAGATAGCCTAGTCATGCAAGTGTAGATTCTTATAACCACTGGATTATTTGGTTCAGAGAGGTTGACTTAAGTAAATCGGTAACTCACGAAGTCCTCCAGAGATTGCTCAGAACTTTCTATTGACTTTCTGCTCTCTTCCAGTTCCATAACGAGCTCAGTGATACGGTTTGATGACTCATTGAGCGCCGTAGTCATTTCATCGATTTTCGCCTTAACAAAGCATTATCAGAAATATCAATAAGTGTTCTTCTAGAGATGAAAAATACTTGTCGCGAAGCGTTCCCATCTTTCTCCGTGTCCAGGGAGGTTTTCAAGTCTTTCACAGTATACCGTAGCTCTTCTCTGTGTTGGTTATTTTTCTCTAACTGTTGTTCAAATTCCTCCTGCTTCCTTTTCCAGCGTTCCTCATTTTCATTGGCCTCAACGATTCTTTCTTGCAAAGCTTGCTCCTTTGCACTTAGATCGGCAGTCAGCTACAAAATGGCTTTGAGTAAACCTTAGTTTGTATGTTACCCAACATTGTGAACCACTATTAGAAAGAGTATACACTAAAAAATGAAAAAATCAATCGACTGAAAATGGCATAGTACGAAAAACTGAATGGATAACATTCCAACTTGTTCCACTTGTCGCTTAAAATTGGAAAGAACTGTTTGGTTTTCCTGAAGTTGAGAACGCAACCCAGATTCGGAGTCTAATACAAAAATCCGCTGGGCCTCACACTGAGACAACTCTGCTTCCTGCAATATCGATGATGGCCATCAGAAGATTCTTAAGATTGACATAGAGAATACGGACCAATTTCCGCGCTTTCAACTCTGCATCAGCTATTCGAGATATTGAGTCCTCAATTTTTTGACGACTTTCTTCTATTTGGCGCTCTTTTTCACGAAGAAGGCGATTTTTTTCTGCTAACTGTGAAGAAATCTGAAACAAACAAACAATAAACAACAGCGTGCAAGTCCGTTACTACAACAGGAAGATCTGAACCGTCCACGAAAGATTTTGTTATGTTAGAGATCTAGGTGCTAATACCTCTTCTAGTTGTTTTCGAGTCTCTAATATATTTGCCTCCTTTGACCGAATTACTTCTTTCAGTTTATTTATACGATCATGTGATGTACGTCGTTCTTCTTCAATCTCTTTCTCGATCTCGACAAAACGTTCAGCCTGAAAAAAGAAACTATCAAAGTATCAAAAATAAGAGATTAAAAATAGATCAATAAATAAAACAAGCAATAGCAAATACGTCCCACCGATTTACCGCCTCATCATGGATGGGAGGTGCTCCTGGTTGTCGGACTCCGATGTACAGCGGGCGAATTCATCCCATCGGCAGAGTATCCCAAGCACGGAAAGAGCTCGGCGTTCCCATAACGAAGCCCAACTAGGAATAAACCAACACAAGGATCCACCACCGTTCGGGTATCAGACTAGTCGCAAGATGGCAAACCACCCTCTGATCCACAAGAGCAGCGACTGTCCGTGGTGGTGACGACCTGGGGCAAACTGGCCTGGCTGACGTCGGGACTCTAGGACCACAATGGCTAAACTAGCAAAACTCCGACAAAATGGATATTATGCTAGGGCGCGCTCAACCAATGAGGACGGTCCATCCAAGTATCCAAGCAAGTGAGAAAATAAGAACAAAACTGTTATTTATATGAAATTATTGCCGTGTTAGTCGAGACCAGCTACGAAGACGAGTAGAAAACAACTTTTGTAGAACTCAATCTATCAAACCAATTTTCCAATTTCTCAAAAACCTACCTTACATACTCGAAAAACAAAAACTCAACAGAACCTTAAACGTGTAGCCATATTTGATGAAGCGAAACGTTACCGACCTTCCGATTAGCATCGTCTTCAGCCTCACGAAGACGTCGTTCAAGGGCCTCCTTCTGGAATTCACAGTTTTTCATTTCTTCGGAAACATTCCTCATTTCGTCTCGGTGAGATTTCTCCAGCTCGCTAATCTTCTCCAAGTATTTGCCTTTCTTGAATAAATGCATTAATCGTCGAACGCAATTGACACAAAGAACTCAACAGAAACTGAAGAAACAAGCAAACAAACTTCACAAGAATAGACTAAGCACTATCTTCTGCGCTACAAAGTGAAATCTTCTGATTATGGCCTACTGATTTGATGTGAAACACACCTCCACCCTTAAGCAGTTAGTGAGTTGCGCATTTTCTTCCAGAAGTTTCCGTTTTTCTTCATTTAATTGATCGATGGCCGTTTTGGTACCATCATTTCCCCGGGAGACCTTAAACATACCAATCAGAAACTGTTCAACACATGTATGTATATACCACAAATAAAAACAGCAACAACAAGTCACTTTATCTACAAGCACTTTTGTGTTCTCTTGCAAAGTTACTAGCTGGTTCGACGTAGACTCAATCTCTAAGGCCATTGAAGTGCAACTCTCGGTAAGCCTTTTGATTTCCACACGGGATCGTTCCAATTCTTCACGTACTGTGAAAACTTCTTGGTCTTTGGAAGCAATGATTGAGTTCTGAATACCAATAGTGTCAGTGGTTTTGGCAGTAAAACTCCTACTACGCACAACAAAATTTCATATTCGTAAGAAAAAACATACCATAACTAAAGTAAAAGAGTTAAAAATGTTTACATATCAAAGTTATAAAACAAAAGCGAGTCCTCGCCTTTTCTTCAGTAAGCTTCCGCTCCAGTTCAAGGAGAGATCCGAGTGAGGAAAGCTCGCTTGTGAGGTCCATATTTGATAGCTCGAGCTGAGAAAATTATAACTAATTTATTTTTTAACAGGATATGGTGCAAATAAATCTATTCCGAAGGGGCATCCAAAGGTTTGCTTCTTAGCGCCAACGGAGAGTCGAATATGATAACTCGTGGGGTAAAAAAAAGAAAGTCGACAGAGATTACTTACAATTCTGATGTTGTTGGACATCGTCTCATTTCTTTCTTCAAATTTAGCCATTTCGGTCTCGTAACGTTTCTTCTCTTCTATTACCTTTGATATGACCACAAATAACAACAGTAAAACATAATAGGCAACATCTCTTAATAACTCAAAAGACCGACTTTCTACAAACCTCGGCATAGATAGTTGATATATTTATTTATATGATCTTATAAACTGATCTTCTTTAGCTGATACGAGGTTGGTATAGGTCTTCGTTGTCGTTGTTGTTGTTGCTGTTGCTCTTGTTAGTCGATGGCTGACGTTTTGGTGATTTCACCTTCCTCAGAGCATGGACGTATTTTATATTAGAATACTTTAATTATTCGGTGGAAAAAAGTCGAAAGTATTAATGAAGATCAAACTTTTAAAAAGATGGTGGGTTAAGATGCTACGGTGAAATGTACTACGCCTATTGAACAGAAAGGCTACTCACCGTGATGTTACGAGTGGTATTAAATGGTATTGTAAAATGATATTGTGACCAGGGGGTGTATCTTGCTCGCGACCCCACGTGAACAAGGCGTGGGCCAGTCCTACTAGTAACATCACGGTGAGTAGTCCTGTTCAATATGGCGTAGAACTACATCTGACCGCAGCATCCTAATCCACAATCTATTTAAAAGTTTGGTCTTCAGTAATACTTTAGCGTTTTTTCCACCGAATAATAAAAAGTATTCTAACATAAAATACGTCCAGGTCTTGAGGAAGGCGAAATCGCCGAAACGTCAGCCATCGACCAACAACACCAAATGCAACGACAACGACAACGAAGACCTATACCAACCTCGCATCAGCTAAAGAAGATCAGTTTATAAGATCATATAAATAAAAATAATAGGCAGCACTTCCCAGGAAATAAAGTACCTGCTCGAGTTTGTCGCTTAACTGAGTTAATTTTATGACATTGCTTTCATTCATTGCATGGGAATCATTGATTTCACGAGCGCTAAGACGCACCGTCTCCTCCAGTTGAGCGATCTTTTCCCGGCATGCAATAAGCTCACTAACGTTGGCTTCTACTCTAAACCGTTTAAAATAATACAAGTGGAGAGAAAGACGAATTCTCGAAGACAAGTACTTTGCACGAAGCTCTTCTTCACGTTCACCCCTCTGAGCGGCATCATATTTAGCATCTCGGAGATCTTTTTGGCATGTTAAGAGCAACTGTCGAGTATCCTCAAGTTCAGAAAGCACAGCACACACCCTGTCTGATGATCTGAAAGAATGAAGAAGTAATAAATGCATCTGATAGCATTTCATGTGAAAAAAAAGATAGAAGGGTAAAACTCTTGGCGTTAATCAATCCCTGAGGGAAGCGCCACGCATTCGACTTCATTAAGCATCGTTTGGAGGCGATTAAATGCATACTTGGTCTTTGCAATGACTCGTATAGGTCTACCGATGTATCCAGCCAGTGCTGATATCTTCCCAGACAAGTCTGGTACCAATTTGCCGACCCCGGAGGTTTGGAAGGCTTGGTGAGCCTCGGGCGTGGGGATCGATCTCATGTGTATTGCAGAAGGCCTCGGGTCACCGCGCTACACGCACCCTTATCTCAAGCGCCTTCTGGTGTCAAACAAAACTTAATCTTTTAATAACGAAAGCATTAAATGAATACTAGAAATCTTTCGTGAATACCATCGAACTTACTCTTTTGAATTGGAGCTGCTATCTAGTAATTCTTTCTGTAGGTTCTCCATCACACATCGCTGCCTAAACATAATAATCCCGAAGAGATATTTCCCATATAAATAATACTACCTACCTTTCCCGCTCCATATTAAGCTGCCTAATAGAGTTAAGTTGTTCACTGATTTCAACATCTTTTTGTTGAGATATCTCGTCCATCAACTTCTGAGCGTGAATTAGCTCAGTTCTTAACACGGCAACGTCGTCCTCACTTGGTCTAGAAAGAATTGTTAAGGAAAACATAAATTCAAGCATAGCAAAGCTTTGAACACCTCTGATCAAGCGTTTTATTGAGGAGATCCAGTTCCTTTCTCAATTTGTCATTATCTTCGTTACACTGCATAAGCTTCTTGCCTAATATTTCTTTCTCAACCTGCAAACCATTGGCTTTCGACAAGGCAACACAAGTAACTTCATTGCATATTTAATAAGAAAGTTGTTACTTACATGTAACAAAAGAGAGCGCTAACATAAAGTACGAACCAGCTCCAAGAAAAGAAAAAAGAGAGAACAACGATCTATAGGTAAATATATCTGACTGTACTTGAATGTCGCTTCTTTATGAACCTGAAGGAATTCCGCCGACCACTAGCAGAATCTGCGTGGTTGTTAAATTGCTGTTCAGGAGAGAATTTCCTTACCTGTTTCGAAAGCGATGAAAGCGCTTTCACAAGCCCTCACCACGCCAGTAACGTTGCGGAAATGGTAATGATCCCTACTACTGGTTCAGGCTTAACGAGACAACCGGATGGCAATGTCGAAGTTATTCAAAAGTTGGGAAGTTCTCTTGGGAAAAAACACTCTCTGTGCAAGATTGTCCGATAGTCAGGAACACCTCTCAGCAATGTTGTAATGATAAATCACTGGACAATATCTTATACAATTCGTGGAAAGAGAACTTACCTAAAGTCCTATATTTTGAGCACACTGATATAAAACTTTGAAATTAGAACAAAAGAAAGAGGAAACAGAAATAAATGAAAGACACTATAACATCAAAGACTTCAAGAAGCGTTAACGAAGATTTATAAGGGAAGTATTGTTAAGTAGTGGTATAAAAAGTTAGCTGATCGAAGGTCGAAGCCTAATATCTTACCTTATGCCCTTCATTTTCATCAGTTAGTTCACGAATCTGCCCACTAAGTTGTTTTAGCTTTACCATAATGTCGTACTTTTCCTGCTGACCGTTTTCTGATACTCTCTTTAGTTGAATATTTTCCTTCTCAAACTCCAACATTCTCTGAGTTGCTAAAACGAAACCGCGAGATTTTAAAAGCGACACTAAATCTTCCCTTGAAAAAGTTCTAGAAACACCGTACCCATACTCTTTCCCGCCTCAAGTACTTGAATTTGCTGCATAAGATAAGGCACATCTCCATGCGGTACATCTGTCGCTTGGGCAACAATGGACTGAATACGATCGACTTCCTCCTTAATATAGTTGCGATTATGCGCAATGAGTATCCTAGGTATCGGAAGCTCCACCACTGGTTGAGCAGAAACCAAAATCCTTGGATAGCCTCCTCAGGTATGCAAAGAGGAAAGCTCTTTTCACTCCATACCAAACATCATTAACTGAACAATAAAAAGCATTAGAATTTATAGACCTCTACCAACTAGAGCAGTTTTCCATTCTGATTTCACGAGACCACAAATTTTTCATCTCCGTTTCTCACTGAATCTCATATTTCAAAACACGACGTGATGCAAGAGCGGTATTTCGTCCAGCAAACGCACCGGTATCCCGAAGGCATCGCTGATGTTAGCGGTTGCGGTGTTTGTATCAAAAAGAAGAACAAATCAAATAAAACAAAACGAAAAGTAAAAATACTGAAACTCGTATTTATCGCCTTAAAAAATTTAAGTATTAACAAATTATTAAAAGTTAAAATGACACTTCAGAAATGTTTTATATACAGTTCAAGCAACAAGATGCTCACGTAGCGAAGTGGTCGGAGGCGCCTTGCAGTACACATGGGATCGCTCTCCGTGCCTCAGGACCAGCAAGCCCTCCATCCCTCCGGAGCCGGCAAAATGGTACCAGGCTTGGGAAGATAGCGGTACCAGCTCGATACATCGGTAGGCTACTTCGAGTTATTGTAAAGACCAGATATGCATTCAATCATCTCCAATGATGCTTAATGGAGTCGAATGCATGGCGCATCCCTCAAAGATTGACCAACGAGAGCTTTATTCACTAGCTTTTAAGGCTACAAGGCTATTCCGTTCCCAATGGATTGAAAAGTTCTCCACTTATTATAAAGTTATTGGAAGCTGTGGAACAACAGAGCTTAGTCATGCAAATAGTCTGTTGAGACGAATAAGCACAAAATCCATACAAGTGATTCGTTTAGCATACCTTTAGCTTCGCTGAATAGATACGTTCCTCATTAATCTGAATACGTAGTTCTTCGATTTCTTTATCCTTCGAGGAAAAAGAATTGGTAGAGTTAGCACCTTAAATGATTTTATAACTAATTATAAACTATTCTGTTCGATTCTGACAAAAAACAATGGCGCTTTTTACGTTTACCGTTTGAAAGGGACGAAGCAGAGTAGTCAAAGTTAGGATTTTCAAGTAGCACCTCCTCCTAGAATAAAAGCAATATCGTTCACAAGGAAACGGAGCATAAAATTGCCTTAAAATAAAATCATTCACCTTGTTATGAGCTTCCTCAAAGTGTTCTGATAGCAATTCTGGTGCAGTGAAAGTACTCATACATATAGGGCAAAGAAAACCCTCGACTTCATCATCAATGTTATCCTGGCTGGTATCGGATGAAGAAAGGTATTGTCTACCGTCATTACGAGATGATGGCGAAAGAACTCCAGGCAGCTTATAAAGAACAAGCTTACGATATGAATGCAGTAAAAAGGTAGCCTTAAGCGTTGTTATGCTTTAAAAGGATATTTCGGTGTCATATCAACTTGATATTGAAGTCAGTTTCCTCATTTGATAAAACTCTGTCGCATAAGTAACAACGCCAACTCTGAATGCCAGTTGACAAAGCAGTAAAGAAAAGAAGCATTACAGCAAAAAAAAACAAAATAAGAGTAAATTTCTAGAAAAAGTTAACATTGCGATTTCGACTACAACCTCAGCTTAACTGGCTTCATTGCCTATTTGGGCTCACCAGACTAATCCCGTTGACAGGTGATTACTGATGGTACTAATCGAAAGTAAACTAGCTGAGAATCAGGCGAAACGAAGAACTCGCGTGGTGTGGTGGCGAACGCGTCGCCCCCCGGAAAAGGTTCGTTCCCCACCGCAAATACCTGCCATCCGGAGTTTTGCGGATATCTCAGCACCATTGCGGCTAAGAGTAAATAGTTAATACTAACGAAACTGCTCACTTCGTTTGCAACTTGACTAACTTGTGCTTTCAGACGTCGAAGCATTTTAACGGACTGGTACACGACGTCAACAAAGAACCTTTACTCCAATCAAATTAAATATTTTTCATCAGCAATGAGACCTGAAATACTACAAGATGACCAAGGAATATTGTCAACGGAGCTTATCAAACAATAAACACCATTATGGAACTCTCACTTGGATTTTGTATCTTCTCCAAATAAGGATGTAACCACGGTAGCAAATAAGTATAAATCAGCATTCTAATAACTATTATATTATACGAGCAGAAACTCACGGGTTTGAGAAATCGGGTCAGAGCTGCACCCTCGCCCCTATGCTGTTTCGTGATGTCTTTCTTTCTCAGTGGTCGTGATTGCGGTCCATCTCGAGTTTGTTGCGGACTGGACGACGCCTAATTTCCAGCTGTAACTGTCATAATGGTTTTGCGCGAGTGGCCGGTATGGCCTTCACAGCTTCAATTTTCTCCGCAGTAGTTTATTCTAACACATAGGACTATGAGGAGGCTAAAGGAAGCTACTAAACAGGAGGAAATGCACAGATCTGTTGAGTTGTTGAGTGAAGAGTACACTAAGATTACTCGAGAGAAACCGAAAGAGAACTGGCTTCTATTTCTGAACGTTCAAATTATCCGCAAATGGCTATATTACGAAATGGTACCCAAAACGAAATAACAAAAACATGCTTGTTCATTACTTCTCCTCTCACCCCTCACACACAAAAGGGCGCTTGTAAGAAACATCTTTCGAACAGAAATCAGCGTGTGCACAGGAAGAGAGCAGAAAGAGGAGTCCCTTACTGTGGCACGGCAAATAGCCATTTCTAATGGCTACGAAACTGTAGCTCCTAGGGATATGCGTAAAAGAAAACCCAAGTCCCCAAATGACAACTCTAGCGATAGTAAGGTTCCGCTTATCTTGCCCCTTGTTTCAGACAAAATAAGTACAACTATAAAACGTTGTTTAAGAAAGGCCGGTCTACAGAATTAGCTAACAGTGATTGAAATAGCACCAAATACAAAGACACTAGTTAGTTCGTAACGGACTGTATAACCGTCTGTGTAAGCGATAAAAGCTCTCGGCGTTGATCAATCCTTGAGGGATGCGCCATGCATTCGATTTTATTACTCATCGTTTGGAGGTAACTGAATGCATATCTGGCCTTTACAATGACTTGTGGTGGCCCACCGATTTATCGAGCCAGTGCTGCTATCCTCCCAGACAAATCTGGTACAAATTTGCCGACCCCGGAGGGACGGAAGGCTTGGTGAGCCATGGGCGCGGAGATCGATCCCACGTTTGCGTTGCAGGGCGCCCCAGACCACTGTGTCATATACGCTCTAACCGTCTGTGTACAAGGAAAAATTGCGTAATTTGCTCAAAGAGTAGAGACGGTGATTGGATGATTCGGGTACAGCATATCCGATCTCTTATAAAGTGTGCCGGGACGAATACATTTGCGAAACGGGTAGCCAACTCTGCGTCCTCAAAAAGAACAGCTAGTCGGTAAACTTAAAGTTAGACCAAGCACTCCACCAGGCGCGCGTAGGATACAAAAACATAATGTGTAAGATTTTCAAGTGAAAATTACCATCCTCGCACAGGAATCGAAAACATTAGCGCGAAAACTCTCTGAGGATTTTGGATAAATTCCAACAATCCGAAAATGAACCTCAGTAAGGAATGCCTCGTAGTCACGCGTGATCTCACATAGTATCCAAGGCTGATATTTAAATGTGAGAAGCATATTGCGTTTCTACGTGAACTCTGAGTGGCTGGTCTCCGCGTGACATACTCAGTGGAGGACTTATAGAAAGTGATGTGTGTGCTAAGAAGAAGTAAAGCGAGAACGGAATTAAAAATTAAAGCAAAGTGGTGATTAGGAAGTTATATTGAGTACGAGAAAGTAACTTCTGTAATAGATTAGTGAAAAAAATGTGAGGAGAAAATAAGAAAGTATGTTCTGGAGTAAAATGGTGAAACTGTATGAGAAACAACTATCATGTAGAATGTAACTGAACCAAGAGCAGTGAAAAGAAGCGGCGGCACGAGAAGAAATGGAAACAAATGCCTGATAGCGAAGTCTGCCCAAATGATGGCGGATGTTAGTCGGCTGGACGTGACACCTTTCCAGCTAGTATTTTTGCAGATCACAACGTGCATAGGAACTTTTGCAGAACACATAACGTTTTTAATCTGTAGGTTTTTTAAGTGGACAGGTTCAAGGACAATACAGAGCTCTTTCTAGCAGTTATGCAGTAAATACATGAGATGACCGTTGGGATAGTTCTGCAGAACTTACGAAAAAAGTGCAGGAAGAGACTGACAGTTACTAATAGATAATTTCATCCATAATTTAAAATTGAAAAGCATTTACAGGCTAATCTAAGTGCGCATATAAGTGTAGAAAACAAAAACAATGTTAGCTGTTTACTGTGGAAGCATGTGGGCATGATATAATATAAACTATAGTGGAGATAACGCAAGGAATACGAACCTATATAGTTGTCTTGAAATACAGGTGGATTCAATGATAAGCTCCTTGTTTCTGCTGCGTCGACAAGTAATAATGGAGCTGTGCTCGTTTACCTGAGGACCGCATTTCGTTCTGTTCATGAGCTCACACCAAGTTATTATCATATTTCTTGTTTTTTATTCTTATTTTTTTGTTATCATACATAATGTAATAATATTCCACCCAACGCCTTACCACCTCCTCGTGGCTGGGAAGTGTTCCTGGATGTCGGGCTGCGATGTACGGAGTGAGACTCATCATTCCAGCAAGTCCTATCGAGCTGAGTCCGACGCTTCCATATGTTGGAATCCACCACCGCCCTAGTAACAAATTAGTCTCATGTTGGCAAATCTTCGTTTAATCTACAAGGGCAGCGACTGCCCATGGTGGCGACGACCCGAAGAAGACTGGCTAAGCTGGTATCGGGACTCCAGGGAACCACAGTGGCTAAACCAGTAAAGCTCCAAAAAAATTGAAACTGTGCTCAGGCTGGCACAACCAGTGAGCATGGGCTATCCATGTATCCAAGTAAGCAAAAATGGCCACACAACAAGCTTCATATGATGCGCTAAGAGAAATGATGCTCCTAAAATAGATTCCAAGAGATCCCCGTTTCCGACGACTTCTTCAATATTCGATGCAGCTGATGAGTGCGAATTAGATGCGATCCACTATCAGTTGGAGGAAGCTATCTATAACGAAAAATCGCATTATAAATTCATTGTCAGAAACTTCACTCCAGAATAGGAAAGGCAAACGGGAGCGAATGTAGTGTCAGAAAACTTGGTTTAGAAGAAATGAGAACGGAAACCGTCTCGCAGGATTCCTGTCTGGAGCGCGGTTCACCCATGGAAACTTCTTTTGCCGGAAGAAAGAAGGCCGCCGCTGGACATGGGAGTCTTCTAACGGCATGACTCATACGGAGGTCGATCACATTTTGCCAAACAGAAGATGGTGCCTACTTGACACATCGGCAGTCCCGTCATTCTGTGCTAGTTCCGATCACCGCCTTCTTCGCGCGAAGATTTGATTCAGCCGTGAGCTGGGAAAGAAGTGTCACCGACCAATAAGAAAATTCCAGCTTTATATGGCGAAAACATTTTGAACGAAATCCTATCCAAACATGACAAGCAGACTAAAGGACACTAGACCGAAGATTACGAGCTGCTTGTCGAAGGGCTTGAAAGTTTTGCCGGATTCGCCTCAGTTCCTCAAACAAGTAGGTCGGATCGTATCTTAATTACAACTAAAGAGTTGCCCCAGAAAAGAAAGAAATGAATCTTGATTCTATTGTGACACACTTAACACGGCTATGAACAAATGCTAGTTGTAGAAGAGTTTTACAGGAAGATCTAACCCGGTAAAGAGCAGAAGAAACTGTTAGAAGCAGCACAAGAAACAAATAGTCTGATGAAATGTTTGGAATTGAGCGAGAATGATACTACGCTGTCAGTCTTGATAAACGAAGATGGGATCACGAAAATCTCCCACCACGATATGGAACTGATAACGGAAAAGTTATGGAATAACCTTTCCCGCTCGACAACTCTAGTCTCGGATACTGAAATTGCCACTGGTTAAAGTCGCCTAAGATTCTACTCTTTGAAGTTCGACTTGCGCTAGAAAGCATGAAGATAGGCACAGCCCTAGTAGGACCCGATAGTAACATCACCAACTTTCATAGAGCTTGAACCCATAATCTACATGTACTTTTGGCAACCTCTACGATCCTATCGAAGGAAAAAAATTCCAAAATGGAGGATGTCGCGCACGATCACCTTGCCCTGGAAAGAGGACCAAAGGAAACTTCGTAACAATGGACCGACGTGCTTGTTGCGTGTAATTTACAAGCTCGACAAAAGCATAGATATTGATAGAAAATCCCTATCAAGTCTTGCTTTCATCAACAACATCGTCATTCTCTCAAGATGTATCAGCAAGGAGTGACAGTGATCAGAGAGCTCAAAGGATGATGTTGCCGGCGTTGCTCAATCTATGAGGGATGAGCCATGCATTCGACAACATTGAGCATCGTTTGGAGCTGACTGAATGCATATATGACATTAACAATGACTCGCGGTGGCCTACCGATGTATCGAACCAGTGTTACTATCTTCCCAGATAAGTATGCCACCAATTTCCCGACCTCGGAGTGAAGGACGTCTTGATGAGCATGGGGGCGGGATCGGACCCATGTGTATTTTGCAGGACGTCTCTAATCACTATGCTAAACGCGCCTATAAATCGGAAGAAGACCCAGTTCATGGAAAAAAAACCATAGTACGAAGGCGAACAGATCAAACTGGATGAGTCTTTGATTGCAAAGACCACCTCTTACGTGTACCCTGGCCGTTCAATGGACACTGAGAACAACGTGAAGGAGGAATTACATGGAAAGGAGCTTGTGCCGCATCAGCGCCGCCCAAAGAAGGCACCCACAGACTAGCCGACCTGCGCTCATTTTTTCAACTCAGCAGCTCTGTTATGCAGCAAAGATGTGGGCTGATAC